AACCCACGATGCAGCCGGTGCAGCGCGTGCACACGATGCGCAATGCCGAGGAAACGGAAACACTTCATGTACTCGGCAGTCACGGTGCAGGCGGCGGGTATGACAGACACAGACAGTAGCATGCTCCGTCGGCGACGAATAGCATGAAGAAATGTGGGATTTTCAGTTTGCTGGGAAGAGGATTGGAATACAGTGGGTCTCTAGTGTGGAAGGCGGAAGGTTGGCAAGTCAGTTTGCAGATTTTTGCAGCATTGTTTGCAGTTTTTCTTGCTGAGTGGTTGGGGACACTGGTGAGCAAGAGTACTAGCTGGGCAATTCACATCAACCTCATGCTTGTTGTTGGCAGCTTCCTGTGGGGCATCCTTGTTATTTTTTGATATGTGGAAAGTCTCAGCAGACTTTTGTATTGGCAGTCTGCGGCCAAGACTCCTTACTTTGCACAGGATATTGTTTAAATATATTTTGCCTAGTGTGGTTTCCACCACTGAGGTGAAAGTGCGATCACACCTGGGGTTGTAAACAGGTCCACAGTTGATGGAATCTGACAGAACCTGATTAAGGATAAAACCAGGATTAGTTTTCATTGAATGACTTTAGTATGCGGAACCTTACTTTTTTTTGTATTATATATATATATATTTGTTGTTTTTCTACTCACTGGTTGTGGTCTAGTCGTCATTTCTTCCAAAGACCAGGTCTCTCCATCTGAGTGGACGTGACCTGCCCCGCCAGGGCGCACGGTCCACCATTGCGAACTCCACCCGTGGCCGGTGGCCAGGATGCCCGGCCTTGGAAGCTGAGGGCCTATGGGGGTGTTCGGTGATGGCATGGCTGATGGCTTCTGATTGGCTTTGTCAAAGGATATGGAAGTAGAAATCCATTCTTGGGGATGCATATAGGGTCGTCTGAGTTGGCCATGCCGTCCACTTGTGATGTGTTCGTGTGTGCGTGCGCGCTTTTGCGTGGGTTTTCTGAGGAAGGATTTGTTTTTGTTTGTCTTGGTCTTTGTTCTTTTCAATTCTTCAGGAGAGAAGAGTCAGTCTACCAAGTATTGTTGCTTTCTGGGTTAATTAATCTTGGCTGTGGATGTGAAGGATACTGTATTGAAGTCTACTCTGTTTTATGGCTGCTTGAAGACAAACATTGGATTTCACATTCTAAATCTGTGCGGGGGGAACTTTAAAAAGAGCGAATCTTTGATTGCGAACCGCTCGAAATCTTGACAGAGTCAGTATATATATATAGATCATAGTGGATGGAACGATTGTCTCACTCTTGAAGAATGTATGATTGGTCGCCAAATCATGCCAAATCTACTTGGATTCCATATATGGAGGAGCTGCTACAAAGTTGTCATGCATGTTGGATCCACAAACAGAACAGCATCGCAGGAAATCCCGCTGAAATCCCACTGAAATGAAGGCCTCAGCACGGAGACATAGAGTAGAGACATAGATACATAGAGTAAGGTTTTGCAGCTTTGCTGATGTGGCCAATGCCATGGTGAACCATCTTTGCATGGATGGCATGGTTCTACACCTTGGGTGCCCAAAACCATCCCAGCTACCCAGCTACCCAGCTACCCGACCAGGTGGGTGAGAGGCCAGCGGAAGATCAGGACGAAGACGGGCTGGAGGTTGAAGAACATCTTCAGACACCAAAAAACGAGGTGTTTTCGGTGTGCAAATAGTTTTTCATAGTTTTCCATTCCAAATTCTTTTGGGATGGAGACTGCATGACATTGACTCATACTATTGGAGACGGATTCAATTCACCTTGGAGACGGATTTGCGTGTTGGTTGTGTTTGGACTGCTTCTTGGTTGGTCTTTCAGTCCGTAGCCGGGATGTCAAGGATGCCGCGTCCACGGAGCGGAGGGTTTAGGAAGGACACTGTCCACAAGGTCCACTCTGCGACCCATTTGCGACATGCCAAGGTGGCTGCTTATACCAGGACCGACACCGTTCGAGGTGTCTATAAATAGCCTCTTAGAGGTTAAGAGGTGGCCAAAAACCACCTGTTGCAAGGTCCTGGTATAGTTTGGGCATTTGTGAAGCACAGCGACCCCAAGAACCGCAGCGTCGTAATGCCGGATTCTTTGTGGGTCAGATCCTCGCAAAACATGGCAGCGCTTTGCACCTCCCGGTTGGTCCAGCAGACTGCCGAACTCGTTGCGGCTCAGCCCATTGGTAAACACAGCAAAGTTACAACCTGGCTTTACCATGAAGAATTGTGGGCTTGTGTAAATGATATCATAACATATCATAACATAGAAAAACAGAAGGTGTCAATCCACAAAATCTATTCATGGACTTTGAATCTGATGCTGTTGTTCACAATGTTTTTTTCACATACTGAATCTATGGAAGAAATCCATCCGTGAAGTCAATCTAGATGTCGTACATGGTCTTGACACAGTCAGAAGCGGCTTCAATCTAATGGACTTTGCCATACCGGATCCCATGTGCGCGCGCAAAGAAGCGTGACGATCCGGCATTTGCTGCGTCTGCTCCGGTCCGGAGGGCGGAAGGAGAAGGGGAAGGAGAAGGGACCAAGAAAAGTGGGTCAGGTGGAGCAGTGTCCTATTGTTTTGTTGGATCTTGGCCTGATTTTGCGGCTGTTAAGGTAAACTGGGTTAATCTTGGTTCCCCCCCTAAACCTCCAAAATGGCCCTAATGTGGTCGATTTTGAATTGGAAGACTATATGTCCACATGTTTGCATGATTTTTTGTCAGGTCCTCATAGGTCTAGGTTATCCAGTTATACAGGTCAGGTGCGTTCTTTTCACGAGCAAAAGACATTTGGTTTGCGCAATTGATGAGGTTTGAAGTGTTCGAACCTTTTTCCCATACGGTCTCCACCACTATCGCTCTATTTGAGTCTCGTCATGGTCATTGTCTCGAGCGGACCTCCCGCACCACCTGACCGATGTGGTCATGCCACCGGTCGTTCGCGCTTCAAACCGGCACCGCCCGGACCACAGCTGCGCCGCCCAGGATGGCGTCCACCGACAGCATGAGGCGCTGCTGGGTTCACCCGGGCGAGTTCGTTCAACAGAGGGTGCTGGATGACCGGGAGGATCGGATAGTAGGAGGATTTCTTTTATCGGGCACCGGGCATGATTCATATATGAAATTATATGAATGCTTTGTTTGAAGTCAGGGCCTTGGTTTTTTCATGGGCGCATGTTTGTGGGAGTATGTTAGGAGTCTTTGGGGGTTTGGGTTCAATTGAACTTGAAAGTCTGGGATTCTTGCGGATGCTGCAAAAACAGTTCAAGGCAAGCAACGAACGTGCACCTCAAAGCTTCACACATGTGAGAATGAAGTCAGACCCACAGGTTCAATGAAGCCGCATGTGTTACTCATGTGTTGTGTCCAATCGTCCAATCGGTGGGCTAAACACGCAGACGGAATCAAACTGAAAGAAGACCAGTTGGACTTGCTTTGGGTCACCATAAAAACACTGCAATGGATCGAGCCTTGGGGCCTGGTGCTACCGAGTCGCAGGGATCTGTTCGACGACCTGCTGGAGAGCATGTCTTGGGGCCTGGGCGAAGGGAAGACGCGAGGCAGTGTGAATACAGCGAGGCAGTGTGACCAAGGCACACAGAGTTAGAGTGCAGCGAGTCAAAAACCCACCTCGGCGAGTCAGCCAAGTTCAGATCAGCCAAGAACAACGTCAGGCACTCCCAAAAAAACGAGCACTTCACTTCACCCACATTTCACCTATTAAAGAGTTGGTTTCCACGTCGCCCCCCCGGGTGTGGCCGGTGCCGTCGCTTGTCGCCACTGGACACCCAGGTCTGCGTCGCATGAAACGTCACACGGTGACGCCCTATCCCGGCGATGGGTATGCAGGCGGAGCGATTGTTGGGGAAGTCTGCGGACCGGTGGAGCATGCTGTCCCGGTGGTGGGTCACGGTGTGTGAATCAGGTCGTTCCCGCACATTGTGGTGGAACACGCGAAGAATAACATTTTGGGAAAAGAAGAACCTAAAGTTACATGCAAGTTCCATTCTAGAGTGCCTCAAACATCCTTGTCTTTGCAAGTCCACAGCTTTCTGATTATCGTCATCAATGTGTTGAGTTGGAGCACCCTTTATAGTAGGGGTTCGGCGGGCAAATCCATGCGCAGGTGATGAGAATGATGAGAAACATCGCTGGAAGCTGTTGCTTAGTTGGCTGTCGGGCGAAGTACACCAGTAAGAGAAAACCGACCAGACTTACTCAAAAAGCACTCCTGGACTCCTGGACATGTACGTGGACATGTTTAACACAAGAACCCTGAAATATTCTGAAATCAATGATCCCAGCTTGTATATAATTGGTAAACTGCCATGTTTTGCACCGTGACATTGGTGCACCGATTGGACACCAGCTGGGTCGGAACTTTAGAATGCTTGGCCATGTTGAGCATCCAAATTTTATTGGTCGCAGAAGGTTCTTGCATCAATCAGCTGATGACCTCATTCCTGCTGAATCCTTCAACCCGGAAGGTCAAATACAGCGATGGACTGACGGTTCAGTCGTCAACGGTGACAATTTTTGGCTGTCAGTTGGAACCTTTTCCATCATTGATGATGAAGGTCGAACAGTGTCATGTGGAATGGTCAACCATTGGGCACTGTCGTCTTACGTCACTGAACTATGGGCTATCTTCCAAGTCTTTTTCAGTGCAACAACACCTGCCACTGTGTTTTCTGACTGTCAATCTGCGGCTTCACAAGTCGCCTCATTCTTGGATAATGGCGCTATTGATGTGCACTGGCATTGTCAGGCTTGGTGGCGGAAGTTTAAAGCGTTGTGTGAATTACGATGGAGGAGTCATCCTAAGCCGTTCCATGTGATTTGGATCCCCGCCCACGTTCTTGAAGAAACACCGGATTGCATGATCACGGAGGAAAAGGCAAGGGAATTTGCGACCACAAGACAGCATATCTTGTTGAATCGTGTTGCTGACAGAGTTGCAAAACATCTTGCTTATCGTCTTTCTCCAGTTGATGGTGCAGTTCACAGGCAGGCCAAACAAGAAATTTATAAGCATCAGCAGTGGTTGACAATGTTGCATGCCATGCTCCCAACCAGGACTGATACAAACGATGATACAACAGATGACGGTGTCGTTGAGCTTCCCGATAAGCTCACAGAATTTCAAGCCGCAGCTCTTTACCCTCAGTGGCATTGGACGACACCGATTACACAGTTTCATTGGAAGCCCAAGATTCCATCCGATATTGCACCACCGAAGTCGTGGCGGCATGGCCAAGATGGATGGAGAGTTGTTATAAATTTCTTGAGTGGTTTACGATGGAAATGTTCTGGAGAAGAGTCTATTTCCTTTTGCGAAATTGCAGTTGCTTTCCACGCTGAAGGTCATCGCTTGCCAGGCGACTCTTTTGACCTGACGTTTCGTGATCTGTACAAGATCTTGAGAGAGGCCTTGCTGTTTCTCCACAAGTCTGACAAGGCCCAACCGTTTCCAGGTTGCTTCAATTCTACAAAGCCACGAGCATGTGGTCGCATTTTGCCTCAGGGATGTATCGAAGGTGCAGCGCCCTTTGTGTCGGCCAAAGGCCTCACGATGCTTGCACAGCTATTTTGTGTTGGTGCGGATCGCCGCCTCGAAACGTGGCTGATTCCTGTACATGAGTGGTGATTGCATGTTTTGTTGGGGAAACTCCCATGTTCGGACCAGAGTGTCCGGCATGACATCGACTCGGACCGATGTGCGAGAGGTAGTATATAATTGGTAAATATCGAAAGTCCCAGACCGGTCATTTTTTGTGACTCGAATTTCGCCTGCTCAATGACACCAACGCCTCCGCCTTATTGCTGCACAGGGCCAAGACGGTTGCTGGCATCTTCGCTGCCACGCTGGCCACCGCGCTGGCGGGAACTGCCTCGAGAGGGAGAGATGGGGAGACAGGTCTTAGGGTTCTGGTTTTGAATCCGGGCGGGTGCTTGTTGACACTGTTCTTTTGATTGGTTTTGATTGGTTATTTGTTTGAATGGTTTTCTCATGTGTTCTCGCATTTTGAACTCAAAGAGTACCTATATATTAGTCAAAGGTTTCTTGTTTGTGATTTACAGCAACTGCAATTGGAACGTTGTGTCACTGGTAAATCAGGGTTGAGATGGATGAACCATGTTATTGTCGACACGCTTGTTGCTTCTATGATATTTTTAGGCATCAGTCCTTCCAAGTGTTTAGGTTTTGGTGCTATAGTCGTCCACGGCCCATGCTAGTCACCATGACTTTTTTGCTGCTTTCTTAAATGGAACTCCGTTTCCAGATGAAAAGAACCAACCAAATTCCGTCAACACCACCCACCCAATGCCCCCGGGTGTGGGACAGAAACCCTGTAGAATGGATGTTTGACTCCGACCTCCTTCGAAGAACTCATGTTCTGCGGTCCCTTCAGGTGGCCTGGTCCGTTTCATGGACACCGCTGTCAGTCCTCAGTGACTTGGCCACACCGCTGTCATCCATGTCTTTGTTGTTCAAGCGTTGGTGGGCTGATTCCAATGGCTCTAAGCGGCTATAAGTTGATGTTGTCCAACAACCCGGCAAATCTTGGACTCGTTTTTTCACATCTCATCCCACCTTGGACACATGTCTCCTCCTCTTTCGTTCGGATTGGGAAGACTCCTAGTGTTTGGAGACGCTGAATGTTTGAAGAGACGCAGAACCACACAAAACATGGGTTGCTCCTGTTCAATCAAAGATCAATCAAGCATTCACTGTGACGTTGGATCAGTAATTTTAGCCAGCTCGCTTGAAAGCAGAAAACACATGTTCTAGTCCAACTGGGATTTGATGCGCAACTTTGTGTGTGTTGTGGCAATATGGCTTTGTAACCCCTCAATTCCATGACAGTGAATACCTGTAAAGCCCGTGGGTGGGCCAACAAGGCCAATTTCACAATAGCAAAAGCCTTGAATTGAAGTCCAAACTAATTAGACTTGGTTAACAACAGCTAACCATGAAGTTTGGTGCGCAAGCTACTGTTGAAAGTCCCGCACCAAAGACATTCAAGCACATGTGCATATTATCATTCTGTCTCGGAGGGTTCAAAACATGAGGGCTGTCAATGTCTACTCATTGTTGCTACTTACTTTCAAATTGATGGAACAGAAAAGCTTACTGTTGATAGCTCACATGTAGTCGGGTGCCTTTTAGATGAGGACTCCTTCGCACGGAGGTGGTTTTGGAGGGTTGCAATATGGTGGTCGGCAGAGAGAAGGAGATCCCTTTCAAAACGGTCTGGAAAACCATGGAACACCAGTCCTTTTTGGTAACTAACCCTTACCATGAGTTTTGATGGATTTGGTCATGCTTTATGCACTTTGTACCTTCGTCCTCTGTGGCAGGAATGGCATCTTGTTCTCACACAAAAAAAACACAAACTTGTGATTGTCCATTTTGCAGGTGAGACAGAGCAGATGCCCCTGGTGCAAGAGTGGTTGCCGACGAAGCAAGACGCTCGGAGAGGCTGAGTCCCAAAAATGAAGAAACATGTTGATACTTATATCCATCTCTCAGAATGCTGCCGCTACAACTGGCATTGCATCTTGCAAAAGACAAATCCCTACAGCTCCAGTCCCATCTCCTCAGGTTCGGTGGTTAGACCCCCAAAACCCGCCCCAACCACCTTCTCAGGAGGTGGTTGGAGCCCTAGGAAATGATGTTTCAAATGTGACCCCTTTTTTGTGTTGGCTTGTTCCAATCTCCCCTATGAGGCAGTCTGGCAGATCGACATTTGTTCAGTCCCAGAATCTGCTGGATTGGACCGCACAACCAGTGTCACATGGAATAAAAGACACGCGTTGTTTGCTTTCCCTACCTGTCAGCTTGACCTCATTTTGACGGGACTCTGCCGGTCAGTTTGTCCTCACGTTTCCTGGAATTGGTCATAAAAAACACGACTCCAGTTTCGGTGTTCAGGATCAAATTTGGACTTGGGTCAGGACCTGTAGGCTTTGTTAGCTTCCCTTAATGTTCTATAGGAGCGGTCTGTCAAAACCTTCATTCTTTTGAGACCTTTCTATTAAGATCATTTGTCAAGCGGATCTGGTTTCTGTCAAAACCTTCGTGAGACAGCTTGAGCATGTACGCACCACATGACGGTGTATGTTTGGATAGTTTTGCACCTGATACAGGGAGCCTTGCCTCCCAGATCCCGCAATCCCCAAAAGGTGGTCGATCCCCATCTAAAAGACATCTACTCTGAAACCACTGCAAACAATTGCATGAATTGTCCATAATAGTGCAATCCCAGACATGTTTGTGTCGCCTCCAGTTGAAGTATAAAACTCCAGCACTACCAAGGCCAAATCAATCAATGCAACAATGGATGCCCTTGTGGAAAAGTTGAGTCGACGCCATGTTCATAGCTATAGAGATTCTTTCCTTCATGCATGGAGTCAATACCTGATGGTGGCACTTCATGGAAGAGTCACATCCTCACTCTTCTTTGTTTTTTTACCTTTCTTAATCGTTCTTAAACATCATGGTCCACTGCCATCAGGGTGTCAGACCTCATTTGTTCCACCTGAAACATGTGAGTCATGAGTCATGAACCATCGGCGTCCTAGACCCCTGGCCAATCAGAGCTCAGGATCAGGTGCTTCCATTCGATGACTGGGTCAAAGCATGGCATGTGAAAGTAGGCGCGGTCGAGGGCACCGGGCGGTTTACGGCGTTCGTGGTGCCCGAGAAAACCGCTCGCACTGCGCATGTTTGTTCCGCCCACTGTGGCCGGTTCTTTGGATTTTTAGGGGCAGTAAATAGATTGTGGTAATTGATATATAGCAACTATAATCGATGCGATTGCTTGGGGATGTTCAGCAGAATTGACAGATGCAAGCCGCTTCCACAAGCATCACCCACATCAAATGGTGGTGAACAGCAATTGGATTTGGCAAAGTTGGTTGGCAGTACCAGTTCCGTGCGGGCTCTTTTGATGCCCTACAGACTTGCCATCAAGAACAAAGTTCCTTTGGAAACCATTTCTGCTGCTTCCGTTCCCGAATGGAGCACGCGGTGCTCAATCAAACATTGCTTTGACACTCTGGGTTGGAGAATCAACTACATTGACCCCGGTTCAACCACCCCAGTGTAGGTAAATATGTCATACATGGAGTGTTTGGGTTGGCTTGACTTTGAGACTTGAGATTTACCTCAGCATTTCTTGCACACCCTAAGAATCCTTGGGCTCTCCATGGCAGGGGTCGGACCCTCCATAGCAGGGGTCCGGGCCCTCAAAACCCTAGAAGGCCCGGATTCTTAGGGCAGGTCTATTGTTGCGCGAACGCTGAACATAGGGCGGGTCAACGCCTTCGCGACTGGGCCGTGGGGACTCCAGCGGTGACAGGTGGGGTGGTACACTGCCTGAAGTGGCATGGAAGATTGGATGGCGTGGCCTCACAATTTCAGACGACGATTTTCTGGAATACCAAACAGGTATAAACTTACACTTTTAATTTCAGGGAGTGTAAGTACTTCCAGTGCAATCATCTGCCATGAACGAATGCAAAAGACCCTCGTCGTTTTTCTAAGACCCAAGTCCCACCTTTTGCTGCCCCGCTGGTTCGCCTCACACTGAAAGTTTCGCTCGCCAAAGTCATCGATGCGAAGGTCACTTGACAGATGTGGTCTACCACACCTACTCACATCATCCAGCCTTCGTGAAGGACACGAGATGTCGCAGCGAGACGATCTTCGTTAACGTTCAACGTGTTTTTTCTTGGATGTGAAAGCGGAAGAGTCCCGCGTTGATCGGTGAAGAACGCTGGCTAGAGCTAATCTGAAGGTTGCTGATGGGTCTAGAGCTCAACTAAAAGCAGCAAATGGTATATAGAGATTCTGGATACTTGGTGTTGATAATGTTTCAGCTCCTTTGAGCTTGAGAAAGCATAGAAAGCGTTGGTTTCTGCTTCCTTTCACCTCACTTTTGGTTGATCAGTTATCGTCTGGTCGACGGTCCGGTCCCATAGTGTTCTTTAGCGGTGTTTCTGGGCCATCGGCGCAGCTAGGAGCTCAACCGAAAAACTCAGTTGTTGCGGATGCTTGGCTGATTTTGATTTGTTTTCACCGGAGAAATGCCTCGGATGGCCACATGGCGCCTTTTTCTGCGTTGAATTGCAGTTGAACTCATCAAAATAATAGGTATTGGGTATGTGTATACGAAGTCTAGAGTACTCTGATGTACTCTGACTATATCTGACTTTGTCTTTGCATTACGTTCCGAGAGGATGAAACGCCCATCAAAAATTGATTCATTGCATGAATTGTGCAAGTTGCAGTCTGCATGGCATTCTTCCTTTGGCCCCTTTCCCTCAGCCGGGCAAACTTCTCCTCTCAGGTGGCAAATCGGCTTTGACTGCCCGAAGCAAGTGGCGGCTTGGTGGAGGGATTGGAGGGATTGGAGGTTGACTTCTTCAGGTGTGGTGAAACCGAAGGGTTCAGTTTGGCGAGTTGTTTCTTTTCTTCCATGAGCAGGGGGCTGCTTAAGATGTCGGTACAAGATGTGAAATGAGCATATATAGACTCATCATGTATAGATAGAGTATAGAGTACAAAGATGTGTGGAGTGGTTTCAGTACCTGCTAGTGCTGAACTCAACGGGCTCAAGACGCATTCAAGACGCTGAACTGGCACTGCACTGGAACTGCCACAGGTTTAGCTAAGAGTTTGAGTTCATTGGCTCAGGTTTCCAGC